CCCCCCAGGGAAAAGGGCGGCATATAAATAAACTTCTACAATCTACAATCTACACTTAAAATTGTAATGGTTAAAAGGTCTAACTAATACCAATGTTCCAGATTTCTCTGCAATTTTTTATTCTTGGAATTACGTGATTACTTCCTAATTTGAAAACCTTTGCTGAAAATCACCGTATCCAGGGATTCTGTTAATAATTCCCCTAGGTCCTTGTAACTAAGCCAAAATACGCCCTCCCCTTTTCCTCTTTAGAAACATTTTTCCATTTCTCCACTATTTTTAAATTCTGGATAAACTGGATGGTTTTTATGAGTGGTTATTTTGAATGTTGCTAGAAGAAATTGTCAACTATATTGTATACAGCGGTGATGGCTAACCTTTTTGGTGCTGAGCGCCCAAAGCGTCCATGCGCCAAACCTCAAAATGCAATGCGAGCGCCCCAGGGGTGGGCTCTGGCTGCTGCTACTGCCGGTTCACTCACGCGCATGCGCAGTACTTTAAAAATGTTTATGCACATGCGCAGAAGCAAAAAACAAGATGGTGCCAGCTATGGCGCCACCTAGAGAACTGGTTCAGAGGCGTGGCAGGCCAAGGGGCCGAACCGGGAGGAACCCACCCCCATGCATGCACCCTACCCCCCTGTGTATGCGCTCCCCCTATTTTTGGCTTCCAGGTTGGTGCAAGCGACTTTCCAGGCTCAAAATGGAGCACCGGGGGGGGGGGGTCACATGGTACCCCATATCCCGTTTTGGCTTCCAGGTTGGTGCAAATGACTTTCCAGGCCCAAAATGGGGTGCAGAAACCCCCCAAAATGCAATACAAGTGCCCCCCACCCATGCATCCCACCCCACACACATGCACGGCAGAGACCTGAAGATCAGCTGGCCGGTGGGACGCAGGCGCACATGTCTGGAGGAGCTGAGCAGGGGCAACGGCTGGCATGCCCGCAGAGAGGGCTATGCGTGCCACCTGTGCCATAGGTTTGCCATCATAGGTATACAGCATCATGGATGGACCTAATGTTGCCTATTCAACTGTGCTGTCAGTTAAACATCTCTTACAATATGAGAAAAAGAATAAAAGCAATCCATAAAATTGACAATTATTAGATGTGTTAACAGCAGGGAAAGGCCAAAATTAAAAAAAATATTTTTTTTCCACAGGTTCTTAAAATACATCAGTATTAAGATCTCCGTGAGCTAGTTCCTTGCAATCTGTTGTATATGCAGAAATAATGATCTAATATTAATTTTGGCAGGCCATAAATACTGTAGCTAATGTCTTATTTCTGGAAGGTGAAAATAACAGGGGAAGTACTGCCTCTGTGTATATAATCAGTTAAGTCTGCTGCCAATACAGCCTTAATAGAAAATTGATTTTATTTTTAAAAGGAAGGATCAAGTATAAAAAGGGGGGGGTTGAAGGCTACTTCCTTTCCTAAGCTGCAGGAGATCTCCCGGTTGAAAAAAAGCTTCTAATCATTAATTCTGTTTATTTAATTATCTCCTCTTTTATATCCAGAGCTGCGGGGAAGACCCTGACAGTCACTCTCCACAATTTCTCTTTAATCTCGGGCAGCATCCGTGACTCTTGGAGATTTGCTCTTTAAAAGTCCAATTAACCACGAATAAATCAGCAGAAGTCATCCCACTGTTATTCTGCATCTTTTGTCAGCATTTCGGAGGATGATATTGATTTTCAAGCGATGGGAAGACCAGCTTTGCTCACCAGGATCTCTTTCATGTCCTAAATATTGAGGGTTCCCTCTAGACAATTGCTCTAACAAAAAAGAAAAACGAACACAAAGTCTGTGCCCTTTAAAATAAGCATTTTATTATTATAAAAAGCATAATTGGGAAACAAAGCTGTAAATAGTACACAACTGTCAGCATTTATAAAGTTACAGATGTATCCAGCCAATCATTAGGATAAATTAAAAACACTGGGGAGAGAGGGGGGAGAGAGACAGAGAGACAGACACACACAGAGTGAGAGAGAGAGTGAGTGAGAGAGAGAGAGAGAGGGAGAGAGAGAGTGCAAAATCTCCCTCAAATCACTCTCTTATTAATTGCCTTGATTGTCTTGGGGAAGAAAGTCCCTGAAATGTAAGAATTCTGATGGAAATTTAATGACCTAGCTACATACATTCAAATGATCAAATAAGGCTATTGTTTCCAAATCGACCCATGATTCTACATATTTTCAATTTCAAAGTATTCTTCTTTCCTCTTAATCAGTTACATTGCTCTACAGTTATATGTTTTCCCACTTATATTGCTTATACTTTTTAATTCTTTATTTCCAAGCAATACTATATATATATAGTATTAGATATATATGATAGCTAGATAGATAGATATAGATATATAGATATAAACTTTTAAAAACAAGAATTTCTCTTAAGTAAAAGACTAGATATTATGTACTCTTATCTTTTTTGTCCATTTCATTATAAAAGTTCAGCTAAATCAAGGCTCGGTTCAGCCATTTCAGCCCCCAAATCTGAGTTGCTTAATTAAAAAGTGCAAAGAGTTATATGTATAAAGTCAATTCAAATAAGTTGTTCTTTGGTTTAAGCATCTAAATGTCGTACTGACAACACTAGTCAACTCTTGACTTCCATTAAATACTTCATTGAATGGGGCTTCTTCTAGGAAAGATGTTCTCAGAATTGCAGATAGGTAAAACAGGCCCTCCGGAAACCCCAAGAGAGGCAGAGTGGGTGCTGAAAGCCCTGTCTATCAATTGGAAGCTTTATTGAGAGGGATCTGTCTTTTTGCAGCATCAAATCTGTACAGTGGTACCTTGGTACTCAACTGCTTTGAAACCCGTTGAATTCGGTACTCAACGCATTTTGACACAGAAATTTGGTCATCCATGTTTTGTACTCAACACACCAGCTAGAAATTGTCGGTGTTGGCAGCCTTGTGACTCACGACATTATTCCTTATGGGAGAAAAATTGCTACTCATTATTTTTGGTACTCACCGCGCTTCCCGGTACCAATCAACAGTGAGTACCGAGGTACCACTGTCTCAGGGGTGGTATTCACTAACCTTCCCTACTGGTTCACAAATGTGAGTGGCCGCGCATGCGCACAGCCTTCCGCACATGCACTTTGGCTAACTAGAGTGCCTACATGGGACGTCATAGAGTTGGGGCGGGTGGATAGGGCCACTACTGGTTCGGGTGAACCGGTCCGAGCCGACAGAATACCTCTGCGCTGTATGTTCTTCATAGTGGTCAAGGCAAGAAACATGCTTTTTAGCATGAAAGATGCTTCTCAAGGCTTTGAAAGGTCCCTTATAATACAATGCTAATCCCAACTGAGAAGACCTCTCAACCCAACTGGTAAATCATACTTTGCTTCTAACCAGGTTCCCATTCGCTCTTTTATGTTTGCTTCTTCCAATCCCATTTTGCCCAGCAGGAAGCAGAGATATCCACTTCCTTAACATTTAGTTGTCTTCTTCCTTCGGATCATGAGTGGGTGAGGACACCTCTACATCACAGTAGCTAAAGCCGTATCTACCCAGCAGGACTTTCTGAGAAATGTCAGTTGAGGGTAATTCGTAAGCAGCGTTGACCGAATTCTGCGGGTTCTTCTCCAGAGATTTATGCAAGAGTTCCTTCATCCTCCGGTTTTCTTTGGTGGTTGATTCCCAAATTATTTCAAGTTCACTTTCCATTTCTCTGAGAAGAGAGAAAAAAAGAAAAAGGATGGGCTAAGTTTGCATGCTCCTTGCCCTCCATGTTTAAGCCGCCCTTTGGAGGTGAACGATCAATCAGCGTAGTCAGAACGATTACATTAATTTTAGTATCTTGCCTGATGGTGAAGGAACACCGTGTACTCTGAACAAGAATGATTAAGGATCTCTAAGCTAATGTTCAATAAAATGTTCTCATATCTTCATCCTCTTATCTGCAGCTAGTTCAGAAAACATCACAAAGAATTACCTTAACTTTCCTTTCTCTTATTAATGACAGCATGGATCAATGAATCAGCAAGAGTTAAGGATTCTCTGTACAACTCATTTTTTAAATGACCCATTTTGCAGGTGTTAACACCTGTCTGAGATGCACCTGACTTAACAACTTGCGATGTCCAAATGCATTGAATTATGGGTGTTGCAGCTCAACAAATCTGGAGACCACCAATTTGAGATTAAGTGAGGTGTATTATCTCAAGAGTTCATGTATGCAAAGATAGAGATTTTTACTGTTAAAATTCTCATTATGAATACGATTATCAAAATTCAGGGATGCAGTTACTTCCTTTTTTTAGGAATATAAAGGAATCCCAAATTTCCCTTGCTGAGCAAGACAATTGTTAAGTGAGTTTTGCCCCCATTTACCACCATTATTTGCCATCATTGTTAAGTAAATCATGGCAGTTGTTAAGTGTGGTCATTAAGCGAATCTGGCTTCCCTTACTGACTTTACTTGTTGGAAGCTGGCTAGGAAGGTTACAGATGGTGATCACATGACCTTGGGACAGTGCAAGCGTCATAAGAACATGCCAGTTGCCAAATGCCAGAATTTTGATCGCAATAACCATGGGGATTCTGCAACGGTCATTAAACAGATGATAAGTCAACGTTATAACTTCAAATAGTGACTAAGTTAATGGTTGTAAGTCAAGGACTACCTGTAATTAAAAAAAGACATGAGACATCACGGAAGAAAAAACTTATGGGGCAGTGGAGAACAACATGTAGCTCCTAAAAGCCTCTTCTGCTCATTCATGATTATTTGTTTGAATTCAAACATTTTAAGATTTTTTAAATAGGAACCGCATCAAACTCCCCATAGCCTAGGAGGAAAAAAAAATCTCAAACAGGAGTTCTGCTATTATCTACATTCTTTTGAAGTAGGTTGAAAAATTGGCTGTATATGATTTGATCCCTGGATTTTATTTCTTTCTCTTGGGTTTCACACTTCCTTGATGTTCACTCAGCCTTAATTAGATAGATTACATGACTGCTGATGAGAACAGATTTGCAATAATCTTCTGCTCTTGAAATCTATCTCCGGACCAATAAATCTTTTAAGCAATTGTGCCTAGAGTCATCAAGAATCTTGGCCCTGTCTCAGCTGGTAAATGTTGCGCTGTCTCATCCTAATTCAATCTTCTCCCATGTAAGGTTAGAAGACTGCATTCTATGTGCTGTTCAGCAGGGCCCTGGTTTTTGAATTTTAAGCTAGTTGTAAAGGGCTGAAAATATAATAATTATGTAAATTAATCATGTAACTTTTCCTGGGTGCAAAGGTTACATGTATGTGTGGAACACAAGTTAGTTAGTTTACTTTATTGTCATTGCACATTGTGAAATGAAATTAAATGCCCTCTTCTGTGTACATTATAATTATAAAAATAAAAACACATCCTATATAATTGAAATTGAAAACCCGATATTGCACTGTACTGCCAAATTCAATATAGTTAAGGTTGCCCTGGGATAAAAGCTGTTTTTCAGCCTATTTGTCCTTGTTTTTTTTATTATCCTGTACCGTCTGCCAGATGGTAATAGTTAAAAAAAAGGGATGCCCAGGATGAGATGGATCTTTAAGAATGCTTTGAACTTTCTTAAGGCAGAGGGAGCTCTAAAGCTCTTCCAAAAAGGGGAGAGGGCAACCCATGATACTCTGGGCAATGATGTTAACCCTTCGGAGCACTGTCCTATCTGCCCCTGTGCAATTGCCAAGCCATACACAGGTGCAGTAAGTTAAAATACTCTCTATGGTGCAGCGGTAGAAGGTCACCAGCACTTTTTCCTTCAGTTGATGTTTCCTGAGAAGTCTCAGGTCGTATCATCTCTGCTGGGCCCTTTTGACCAGGGCTGCAATGTGAGATGCCCCAGGTCAGGTCCTCTTTTAGGATAACACCCAGGAACTTAAAACTGGCCACTTGCTCCACTCGGTCTCCCTTGATAAGCAAGGACTGGATGTCTGATCTATTCCTTCTATAGTCCACTGTAAGCTCCTTGGTCTTATTGGTGTTAAGGACCAAGTTACTGTCTCCACGCCACGAAAGCACCTCAGGCTAAACAGGTTTCAATAATATTCAGTTCTGTTCAATCTCCAGTTTCATTTAGCTTAGCTTGCAAATAAGGTAAGTACCTACTTTATAATCTCATAGGTTGCATTTTTCTCCTAAGAAAATTTGGCGTTTTAGGGGAAGATGGTTACTTGTCTATGATAGGATGCTTAGCTTATGTGCGCAAAGACTTTTCCCTCTTGAAGGCAATTCAGTTCAAATCCTTTGAGGGCTACAATTGTGTCCCTCATTGTGTTTCTAAAACTGCCTTTCACCTGGAAGCAAGGTCTGCAATGGATAGTCAAGACCACCGACTGGCTAAAATTGATTTACTTCCCGGAGGTCTTGGCTCCCTTGAGCCCATTAGAAATTTTCATTCAAGATGGAAGACTTTACAGACAAAGTATGAAGTTGTCATTTATCCCCATCCGCTTTGCAGTTCTCGAGACTCCTCAAAGCTAATGAGATTGCAAGACGGCAAATAAGAAGTTATTGATTGGCCGTACAGACAGACAAATAGCAATAGCAATATAGCAAT